AGGTGCGGTAGCCGATTCGAAACAGTGAATCATGTTACACAATGGTTGACAATAACTGTGTTTCACAGTAATCTCTCATTCTATAGATAAATTAATAATATTTCGATATGAAAGAAAAAGCTGTTTTGCTGGGAATCCCAGTGTATCGGAGTATTTTATGAATTTATATATTATGTAATTATGTATATGAAATTTAAATTTGACATAGTCGATGCTTATAGCGCCGTGAAGATTATACAGTGACCGCCAAAAAGTTTGCAACAAATGGGAAAATATTTTATTATTAGGGTATCAAAAAAAAATGTTACGTAGGATCGATTTAGCATACCCATCAACAAAAAAAAACACTGTCACAGATGTCATGTGACCACAATCATGGCGGCAAATTCAAGAAGTTCGCCTCAAATAGGTTTAAAGTGGGATAAGATGACCAGAAATCAAAAAATTGTAGAGAGAAAAGTGGTTCAGGATTCGATTTTACGTCTATGTGTCAACTTTCAAAAGAGTACAAGGATTTTTTTAAAATATCAATTTTTTGGCCTGTTTTATGGTAATTTGAAAAATATCAAAAACTTTCCGCCTGGTTCACATAATTCAGAGTGAAACTAATGAAAAAAAATCCAGTGCAATAATTCTACTTAATTGTCCCGCGACAAATTGTAAAAAACGAAAAATTCATTCTCAGACCACTCCGATCTTGTTGCAATGACCTACAGAAAACAAAAATTTGGAATAACAAATTTAGAATTATTATGGAATCTCTCTAAATAACCGAATATCTCTTTTCTAAATTTAATCAAGCCAATATTTTTGCGAAATGTTTTCGATAATTTTCAAATTACCAGAAAACAGGCCAAAAAATTGATATTTATTGAAAATCCTTGTACCTTCCTAAAAATTGACACATGGACGTAAAATCGGATCCTGCATCACTTTTCTCTCTAAAATTTTTCGATTTCTGGTCGTCTAACCCCACTTTCAACATATTTAAAGCGAACTTTTTAAATCCGTCACAGTGATTTTTTTTGTTGATGGGTATGCTAAATTGATCCCACGTAAAATTTTTTTTGATATCTCAATAATAAAATATTTTCCCATTTGTTGCAAACTTTCAAGCGATCACTGTACATATGTAGCGGGAGACAGGGCAAGGCAGTTAAAGTGAAACTCCAATTCAATTTTCCAACGTTTCGTTGTTTATTCCAACTTTATCAAGGGGCAATCTTAAGTGAAGAGTTACAGGGATGTTGAAGTAGCCATTGTAGAACATAAATTGCATTAGTGAATTGTAATATGTGACACCTATGACTAATAACATCACACACAAAGTCGATATACAAAATACACCTAACTGTATAAGTTAACAATCAACATCAAATCTGTATAAATCAACAGAGATTGTTGATTTATTCGGTTGACGTGTATTTTGTATATCGACTTTGTGTGTGATGTTATTAATCATAGGTATTACATATTTCAATTCACTAATGCAATTTATTTTCTACAATGGCTACTCTAACATCCCTGTAACTCTTTAAGATTAACCCTTGATAAAATTGGAATAAACAACGAAACTTTGGGAAATTGGAGTTTCACTTTAACTGCCTTGCCCTATCTCCCGTTACATACAGGGTGTCAATTTGAAAACTTACCATGGCTATATCTGAGTAATCAAAAAAAAAAAAAAATGAAAAATGAAAGAAAATGAAAACAATTTCTATAATAGGGAGGGAGAACCAAAATGATGTGAATACCAACCTGTTTTCACTTACCCCCCACCCCCAGCCACCCCAACTAGATAATCTTAAATAGCAACCCCCTATTTGTAATACCTTGTCTGAAAGCTCTTGAAAAATGCTTTTCAATGGTACCCTACAAGCTAGAATTCGATGTGATCGAGGATGTGATAGTTTTTGGTTTATTGGGTAAATAAAACTTTATCCAATTAAATTAAAATTGTTTTTTTTTTGGACTTGTCAATTTTTTCAGGTCCCAAAACAACGAATAAACAAAAAATAATACAAGCCTGAAATGTTTAGGCCTCAAGATTAATGCTACGATAGTAATAAAAATGTTTTTAAATGTTTATTAAATTAATAGTCAAAAATTCAATTCACATTTCAATGGTTTTATTTTGACAATTATAACATCCAATCTTAACTTGTAGGGTACCATTGAAAAGCATTTTTTGAAAGCTTTCAGATAAGGTATCACAAGTAGGGGGTTGCTATTTGAGATTATTTAGTTGTGGTGGCTGGGGGTGAGGGGGTAAGTGAAAACAGGTTGGTTATTACATCATTATGGTTCCCCCTCCCTATTACAGAAATTGTTTTTATAGATTTTTTTTTTTTGGTTACTCAGATATAACCCTTGTAAGTTTTCAAATTGACACCCTGTATAATCTTCTTTAAATTTGACTTTACAAAATTTCATAATGTAGGACGTCAAGCGAAAAGATGAAAAATTGAAAGACAAATAAATTGAATGCATACTTTTAAAATATTGCATAGGTACCTATATGCTCTACCAATTTGCTTGTTTTAAAATAAATATCATCTCGATTATAGTATTTCATAAAGTTTTAGGACAAAATAAAGAATCTAAACAAAAAAGTAAAAGTTAAATAACATTTTAGTTTCCAAAATGCTCGATGTGAAAATCTGAAATCGTTAGGTAGCCATATTGGGAAAGTATCAATTTGCAGTTTTTCTATACATGAGTTTAAAAATATCATATACCCATATACCTAATTATTTTTCTATGGCCATAATTTGCGACACTGGTACTTATGGCCGTTTCCACCAACTATTTTAGGGGAACCTTAACGATAAGTATTCCTTAAAATGACAGTCTTTCATGAAGAAATGGTAATTTAAGGCATACTTATCGTTAAAGCTCCCCTAAAATAGTTGGTGGAAATGGCCAGAAGTGCAAAAAATTTATGAGTTTTTCAAAAAAATGTACGAAGGCACGCTGATTTTTTCAGAGCTGATTGTAGAATTGTGTCCTGAGTTTTAAGCCAAAAAGTCAATTCGAAAGCCTTGTACGGGTGCCCCAAATTCGAGTCTCATCATTGGGATCTCAGTAACCGTAAGAGATAAGGGGTCGGTTAAATTATGGCAAAGTTGCGCAATTTTATGACCAATAGAGTGCCGCTTTGAAACTAGAAGGATTCCGAATACTTCCGGATATATTCGGAAAAAACCGAAATCTTGTAAAATCGTGTTTATTTTTTCCTGGGCTTATTTGAAGAGCAATTTTAAAATAAATGTCACTTCATCATTGTCACTTTTTCTCCTTTAGAAGATGGTGGTCCTAAATTTAAAATTCGACGTTTCGTCTTCAGGCGGCCATCCTCAACTTCCTTTTTTTAAATAGGTACGGACCTGGATTTTTTATTTGCGATTTTGTCATCTTTAGGCATCCTGACACCGATACTGTTCATAATTTTTCAATAACACAGTAAAAAAAGCAGGTCCGTATTTAAACAAAATAAATTGATGATTCCAGAGGAACGAAACGCTGGATTTTAAATTTGATACCGCCATCTTGTAGAGAAGAAAAAGTGACAATGGGAATGTGAAATCATTTTTTCACAATCTTCTCAAATAAAATCAGGAAAAAATTAAAACTATACGAAAAAAGCATGAATTTCTCGTTTTTCTTAAATTTTTTCCTGATTCCATTTAAAAAGATTTTGAAAAACTAATTTCACATTCCCATTGTCATTTTTTTTCTCTACAAGATGGCGTATTAAATTTGAAATCCAACGTTCCGTTCCTCTAGAATCATCATCAATTTTTTTTTTTTTAAATACGGACCTGCTTTTTTTACCGTGTTATTGAAACATTATAAACAGTATCGGTTTTAGGATGCCCAAAGATGACAAAATCGCAAATAAATAATCCAGGTCCGTATTTAAAAAAAGGAAGTTGAGGATGGCCGCCTGAAGACGAAACGTCGAATTTAAATTTAGTAGCACCATCTTCTAAAGGGGAAAAGGTGACAATGATGAAGTGACATTTATTTTAAAATGGCTTTTCAAATAAGCCCGGGAATAAATAAAAACGATTTTACAAAATTTCGGTTTTTTCCGAATATCTCCGGAAGTATTCGGAATCTTTCTAGTTTCAAAACGACATTCTATTGGTCATAAAATTGCGCAACTTTGCCATAATTTAACCGACCCCGTATCTCTTACGGTTACCGAGATCCCAATAATGAGGCTCGAATTTGGGCCACCCTGTACTTTCGGGCCTATTGCCCTTTTTTTTTTAACACTTTTTTGAATTTTTCTATGTTCAAGTTGTAGGAGCCGCACTAATTACAAGGAGCAGACCCTGTTCAAGAATCTGCAGGTTTGCTATCCAATTTTTTCCGAATTCTGAAACACTAAAATGGCCGCAGCGCCAACGCCTATATTAAAATAGCTAGCAAAAAAGTCATAAGGCAAAGATGATGAGAATGTAATTATCTACAACTTTTAGTCAGGTCAGTTTGTTGGAAAAAACTGAATAAGAAAAAAGCCAATATGACCGAACGCACAAGGCTTTCGAGTGTGTTTTTTTGGCTGAATACTCAGAACCCAGGACACAGTCTACAATCAGCTCTGAAAAAAATCAGCCTGCCTGAAAAACCCATATATTCACTGGACTATAAGCTGATAAAATACCTACCTCACATTTAATAATCTAGTTGGCAGTTGGCTTTATCTAAAAATTGCTTTGTCGACATTTTTTTTCCAAGGTTGAAAAAAGTGATTAATTTAGTGAGAATTAAGTTAAGTTAAAATTATTATTATTTATTATACTTTTGCCAACCATCGATAAATTCAATTTTCACCTAGTATCGGCACAATCAATTCGACATTTTTTCGCGAAAAAAAGGCAGAAATTCGAGGAAAGTTATATGAAACTACTAGAACCATCAACAACAACAAATTTTCTAAAGAATTTTCAAAGTTTTCATTCATTTATAACTAGGTACTACTCGGTACTTACCCAGAATTTGTTGCGTCTTCGCCTATAGTAGTACTTTCAATTCCAGGAACGAATGAAATGCTCACTTGTCTAGTTGTCTAGGACGACTGAACGACTGAATGACTGTGGATGAAATGATGGATAGATGAATGCGAACGAAGCGCCGAATGCCAAGCAGCGAAGGCTGGTTGAAACAACAGTGAAGTTTGACATAATGTTTAAAAAATTACAGTTTCCTGTTTAATAGATTAAAGCTCCTACTATTGCTTAAACAGCTTAAAATTACATTTTACCTAGTTTAAAAATTGGGTTCGGAAAAATTCCTATCATTTATCATCCTCATTAATTACAAATCCTGAAAACTAGCTCAATTGATGACACTTGCAGTGTTGTCAATACCCAATTCCTGCTCACTCATTTATAGTTTACCTGTAATAAAATGCATCTTTTACATTCCAGAGATTTATCCGGTATTTTAAAACACTAACCTAAACACAAATAAATATCCAGCTTCTACCCGACTTAATAGGTTACACACCATTAGTCAACAAATCTTTTATTAAATAATAATCAAAATCACACTTGCAACCAAAATAACAAAAAAACGCTGAATACGCATAAAAAAAAACACATCAAAACAAACTTTCTTGGGTGCCACGCCATATTTAATTGTTTTTTTTTACAGATGGATTGGATTGCCAAACATCAAACTTGCAAGTAAAATAACAAAAAAACGTTAGGTTTGTGTGTTTGTGTTGCACTAACTTAAAATAAGTTGTAATATTTCAGATTATGGCATATAAACCATATAAAACACTCACAAACGAACGCCCCAAAGCAGGAAGTGCTGCCCCGAACAACACAAACAAACAAACCTGTTGAATATACAGGAAAAAAAAAACATATTCAAAACAAGCTTGCTTGGCTGCCACGCCATATTGTTTTTTTTTTTTGACTGATGGATTGGATTGACAAATGTTGTTAAAGCTGACTTTCCACGGCCCGTGATATCGTAAGCCGGGTCGCGCCGCGCGGGCTTGAGCAAGTCCGGACCAAATTTCGAAAGGCATCGGCGGCGTCGGTTCGCGAGGTGACTTTAGTGCAGCAGTCGTTCGTTCAGTGGTTCAGTGTAGTTGTCGATCGGTGCTTATAACGAAAATTCCTTTTCTTTTTCAACTCTTTAATGGTTATATCACCCGCAATGCTTTTAATTTTTTCCTGAATACGACTCCACGCATCGTGTTGATCGGTTCTGTTTTTATGATTTGCACTTTTCGTGTTCCGCAATGCTGGTTCACTTTCATGAAAATTAATAATCTCAAATATCGCATCATTGGTCCACGTGTCGCACGTTGCTTGCATTCGTATCTGTCAAAAACTGTCCCATAGAGCCGTTTTACACGGCAAAGTATCTTCACGAAATTATTGCCGAAATATTTCGTAAGTTTACTATTCTTGGTTTCGCTTTTTACCTGTTTGACACGGCAAATAAAAGTTAGCAAAATTTTCGTGAAAATATTAGTCATACGCAGGCGCAGTTACGTTTTGCCATCAATAATAGACACCTTAAGCAAACCCTAAATTTTTCTACGTATCCGTATCCGCATCCGCAAGCGCATCGACTTACGTTGACCGCCTAAAATCATTTTAAGCATGGCCATATATTACGTAAACGATCGTATCCTTGAATGAAACGTTTTATAACTTCAAAAAGTGTTGAATTGATTTTGTAGCTATGTTTGTAGGTTTTCTTTTCATCCATCAGTACTGTGTTTATGTTGTTAAAGTTATTTTAGTGATAACTACTGACAGGACGATCTCTCAATAGTGTCGAATGATTGAGATACGTTTTCGGGTACGAAGCTAGGCCGTAAGGATACGGACAATGCAGCGCAACGAAACCACCGTATCTATTCTGCACATGTGCAGATTGATGCGGATACAGATACGTTTGAAATTCCAGGACCTGCTTAAAGTGTCTAATATCAAATCATAACCTTATACTTTTGGTAAACAAATAAAACTTTCGTTTTGTAATTGTTGTTGAATCTTTGTACTCTTCTGCAGTTTCATAAAGTTGAATTTCTGTTTTCCTTCCATAAATAAGGTTTTGTTTTTCTTCGGCTTTGCACAGCTGGTCCTCTCCCTCCTATGTTTTTGGGCCCAACCGTTACTTAAACTCTAATGGTGGTAGCGCAGTAGCAGTCCACCCACAAAAAAATTATTCGATAAAAAAATTGAAGCTGACTTTGTAACTCTACGTCCCAAAATGAGTTCTGAAGAAAAATACCTGAAAAAGGTAAGCCTGGCATCCGACGTCCACGCGATGTGTCTCCAACACGCCCTGACAACAGAAAGACAAGAAATAATGGGGCTGCTTATCGGCGACGTCGCTTAATATTTTCCGTTTTTATAAACGACCCTGTTATGAAATACGAGATTCATTTGACATGTTTCCAAGCTTTAAGATTGGAAGAATGGCTGTTTTGACCACCGATATGTACCATTGTTGGTCATACCGTCACCGTTGCAAGATCACAATTTGGAAAGTATCACCAATCTGACGAAAATTCTTAACCAAGAAGAAACTGAAACCCATCGCGCAAATGATAATGGAAATGCTGGGGATATGGTCGACAAATTGCATAATGATGCTATTAAGACTGTGGCTTTGGCTCATATTGTTACTAAAGTTTCCATACCCATGTTAGAGGATTTGACTGCCAGGCTTGAGGCAACATAGTTAAGGATTAAGGAACTGGAACGTATGAGAGCTAATCTATAGGCCAATCAAAAATAATAATTTACTATTGTCAAAAATGATGTATTATTATTTCAATAAAAATGTACTGAGTACTTCTTTAACTCCCGCTTTCCTTATAATTCTCAGCCATTTGTTTCAAATTTCAACGTTTCAGACCTAAAAGTTGACAGAAAGGTTAATCAATTATTTTTGTAACAAGCACAAGCATTGTAATCATATTACTGCTCTGTCTCTGTGTCTCGAAAAAGAATTTCCAATTTATTGTGTAAAAATCAAATCAAATCAAAATAAGCCTTATTGTCAGAAAACCAAAAGAAAAAAAAAATGTGGGTTCTATGTTAGGGGGGGCAAGACTGGGCCAGAAAAATTTAGCGGGGGCACTTGTTTTTATTTTATTGCTTTTCTTCTTTGGAATAAAAAATGGGAAAGTATCTGCCGATACTAATATGTTTGGGGGAATCCCAGGAAAGCGAAAGCAGTACCGCAGTTGCTTGTGCCCAAGAACTCTTCACCTAATAGGCCTGCTTACTGCGCTGAAAATATCTGCCATTTCAGCTGCAGACCTCAACACTTGGCGTAAAATCCATTAGCCGAGTTTAAAACAGTATAGGTCAAAAAAATTAATTCCTAAACGTGATAATCTTGTTAGAATCACATTTCCTACATTTGAAATCGACGAAAAAACAAGCACAACCTGAATTGCAAGCATCCCATCGAGACCTGCCGGTGACGTCATCACTATAAGCTGCTATGCCGCTAATTAGTAGTGACGTCACTCGCAGGCCCTGCCGACTCGAAAATTGGCGAACATACGCCTTATGAGAGTGAGAAATCCTGTTAGTTCACGATTCTTCTCTGGCCCCCTCCCCAGCGTCGCCACTGGTGGTATGAATAAAAACGAAATAGATAACTACATTTCGAAACTATCAGAAATTAGTAAATCCTTCTTTTGAAAGTAAACACTACGTAGAATATACTAATATTTGATATTTGTAGTAGTAGGTCTGTTTCTGCAGAAATGACAAACCAGTCAGAGTGAATTTCATTGGTTGAAAACAGTCAGAAAACTAGTTTCAACCAATGAAATTCACTCTGACTGGTTTGTGATTTCTGCAGAAACAGACCTATTAGCAGCATGTTCTTCATTTTTATTCATACCACCCTATGTCTAGAATTACAATAATTTTTAATAATGAACCTGACGGAAACATAAATAAAATGTAAAAAGAAAATAATGTGCAGCGCCGTACACGTGGTAGAAGTGAAACTTCTTGAAAACTATTCCCTCTTATACAACTTTTAAACCCACACCACATTTAGCGTGCGAGTCGGAGTAAAAATGAAGGGAAACGCGCATCTGTAGTGACGTCACAAAGGTATCGGCGTTTGTTTTGTGTCAATCCTTCGTCGGCTGTTATTGTCATTGGCCGTCTTTCTCCGTCCCTCACGTTAAATTTTTCTTCTCTCTCGTGTAACGAAATGGGCTTTAATGTGACGTTACGCGACGCGTCTTTTAAATCACTCTCCTTTTTCGTCCAAATATCAGACCGCTGCTTAATAGAAGTTTCTTGAAGAAGTTTCACCTCAATAATCACAAAAGACAATGATAGTATAACCAAAGGGAGACGCGCATCTGTAGTGTCCGTTACAATAATATCGGCGCTGGTTAATAACAGGCAATCCTCTTTGCGCCTATAGTTCTTGGTTTGTGTCAATCGATAGCTACCTTTCTCCGTTTCTTTAGTGGTTTCTTTACGTTATATCTTACTTCTCTCTTGACTAACGAAATTTGTCCATTATCGACATTGTCGTCCAAATATCAGAACGCCGCCTAAGAAGTTCACTTCAAAAAATGTAACAAACAAATAATGAAAACAAACGCAGAAAAATTAGAATCCGTCCCTAGGATCCAATAACGAAAAAGCAAACATTTCAAAATATAAAACAAAATAAAGCTAGAAAGCATCATCATCCCTCTTGGCACTGAATGACATAAGTTAAAACAATTGAGACACATTTAATTTTCATAAAATTCGCCAATACGCCTTGCCTTGGCGACTAGATGGTTCTTTACAAGCTTTCTAAAATTTCCCTAAGTACTACCATTGTACTATTCTTAATTTCCTCAGACAGGTGGTTGAACAACAAAAGTTGAGGATTTTGCTAAGACAAATCTGTACTGGCATTAACGCTTGGATTCGGTAAGGAAATAAAAATATGTAAATGGGATAGGTATCTCAATTTATTTTTCTAAATTACATGATTTTTGTTTCAACATTAAATCACTAACATTCATAGTATTAACTAAAGAGTACAAACATTGATTTATTTATTTGTCTAGGGATATGTGAATTTTATGCAATACGCACAAAGTGAACAAAACCATGATGAAATATTAAACCTTCCAATGTTGCTGTAAATAACACAAAACTTGTAAAGAACAATGATGAAGCTGAACAATTACATTATGCTTGTATAAAATCCCTGTAAATTTTAATTTTATTAGGAACTCAATAGGATCACACTAAATTATTATTTCAATCATCCAACACTATTACAAAATAGTCAATAAAGTTCTGCAACAATTTCTTATTTGCGAATAACATTGTACAGGGTGACCCAAATTTGAAGCTGACCATTGAGATCTTGGAAGCATTCCATAATTTGTTTGGTTTTGATATCCTGTCGGGAGGCAACACGAAAACGCACCATCCTATGCTGAAATGGATTTCTAGAGATATTTGGGTTAGGCTCAGTTTATGATTAAAGCATTTTTCAATCAGTGGAATAAAAGTGTTGGATAAAATTTAGTTAAAAACAGCAGAGTTATTATGTGTTTCAGTCTGGAAATTTAGCTCCCTAGCTATACAGACTTATACTGTACACATAAAAACTCATTTGTATCCTATCTACATATTCTGTGCTATCACAGACTTAGGCAGTCTAAAACACAAGGGCCTTGAACGCCTACTTTTAATTAGGACACTTTTTGATGTTGCTCAAATTTCCTATCAGGCAACACCAGGAAAAATTATTGATTGGTACCACTTTTATAGCTCTGATACATACTAGAACAACTACAATTACGTATTCAAATGTGGACCAAAGTTTTTATTATTGAACTCCCTAATTTAAGAATACATAAACTCTAAATTACACTCTAATACCTCATTTTTTTTTTAAATACTAATTTACTTAATAATTTTAATGATCAGAAAAATAATAAAACGCCCACAATATGACCAGAAAAAAAGACATTTTTTACACGGAAAAGTAATATAAATTCTATAAACACCATAATTTTTTTAATCAAGGAAAAATTGGTATTTTATATCACAGATAGGGTTAATCAGACTAGATATAATTAAAATTTTAGGGTATGTACCTGCATCAGGAATACGGGGTACATTTATCAAATATACACTAACTAATTCTATTATCTAATGACAATTCGGATACATTTTATGGAATAAAAATACCAAATATAAGAAAAACATGATTGGGCTTCAAAACGTTATCTAGATGAGATTAAATTTCTATGTTTGACACTCCTTATAAGTGATAAAATTCCTGATATGTTTTGGTCAAGCCAAACAGAAAATCAACGATTATACAGGGCAGATCGGACTAAAATTTAGCGAACAATTTACAGACACATGTATGTATCTATGAGAGTATTACGAAGCTTATCAGAATATTTTCCAGAACATTCAATGCCCCCTTTCAAAATCCCATTTCTTCCAGAAATTTCTTTCTTTCGTCTTGTCTTTGATAATTTCTCGTATTTGCTGTTTTTCTTTACGTAGCTCACTCTATACAAATATGAGACTTTGGTTTGTTTCTATTCAAATATTATTAGAACTACATAAAACACCATCATCCGTTATGCCTAATAGACAATTGTCAGCTTAAAGTTTTCTTAAAATAAAAAAGTTTCATTTAACATTCAAATACAGCATGCGAAAATTTAATTAAACCAAATGGTCATAGAAACACCTTTAATATTGTGCCAAGTTATTTCTGGACATATTAAAGCGCTAAATCATAAATTTGCAATTTATGAATGGTCATAAAGTCATAATTAGACGGAACGTGTGTATATTTAATCGGTTTTGATATTTTATGATATTTCGAAAGTGAGTCTCTTTGTTGCTGACTGAATTTTTGGCAAATGCTCAATTGAAAATAAATAAAATAGAAAAGCGTGAAGTTAAGGGATTTGAGTATTTGCTTGATCTAACAGGAATAAAGGAGGCAAATATTAGTCTCACTTCACAAGTTTCATCCATATTTCTTCTCAGTTGCATGACAAAATAGCGAGGAACAAAAAAAACAGTTCCCAAAGACAATTATTGTTACTTATTTGGACATATTGATTATGAATTTGATTTTTCTCAATTGTGCGGTATTGGAACTAGATATCCTTGTTTGCAATATGTAGCCAGTTTTTGAAAAACTTTAAGAATTATTTTACTACTCAAGTAGTTACTCTATGCGATTACTTGTAGCTTCCTAAGTTACAAGAGAACCGTGCAAAATATATTCAACAAGGAATGTCAATACAATATTTTCTTCTTGAATACTGCAAAAAACAGCTAAGGACACTTAAACTTATGCTTTGGTCACTTCTATTAATATGGGATAGTGAATATTATCATTGTATTCACAATTATCAATGAGCGCGAGTCGTTTTTCCCACACCACCTGGCTATAATTCATAACTTTTTTGCAAACAAGACCTCTTGCTTCGGATTGTAAAATGAAACTATCCAAAGTAGCACCTCTTTGAGGCGCCATAACTAGCGCCATCCCCTTCTCTGATAAATAATTAATGACACAGTTAATAAAATCCACCCTAGCATCATCGAAAAAGAGACAATCAGCCGAAATAATGATATCATACTCCTTATAATAATCCCGTTGCTCGCCCCATTTTAAAACACTGCAATCTGTCTTGCAAGCGAACGAATTGCATTGCAAAATCGCTGCAACATTTTCGATTGACGTTTTATTACCGTCAGTAACTAGTACACTTTTTGCTGAACTATACTTAGCTACAAACAAACCGGCTAAACATGACATACCGCCACCGAGTTCTAGAACATTTTTACCAGCAAACATGTCTAAGTTTAAACAAACGTAATAGCTAAGCGTTTCTTCGGAAGGCCATATACAAACATTTCCTGTATTGTTGAAGCCCATGAGATCTTCAGCGCTGAATGTTCGGTTCCGGTGCCCGATATTCAGCTTGAAAATGTCTAAATTGTTAACGATTGAGTATTCAATCCAGGTGCGTTTGGTGATTTGGTCGGTTATTCGATCAGTAGGTGCTGCTGGCAGTTCTCTGGTTTGTAGGAGCATGAATGAGGATATTCTCCGGACTGATATTTCATCTGTGGGACTCGATGGTTGACTTCCATTTGGGCTCTGTGCAATAAAAAACAATTTCAGGAATTTTCTTATAAGTATGTAGGTCATACTAAAATCTTTTTCAATGAAAAGTACTAACAGCTCACCTCAAGCAAAAGCAATAGTTTCCACGAATGCACTGTCTTTTAGACTCTATAGCTAAACTTTTGGAGCCAAAATTTGCATGCCTTAGTAAATACTCAAAAAAAAAAATCAAGATGGCGACTGAAGATATTCAGTATTCTTATAGTTTTCAGTGCAGAAAATGCGTGTCTGGAGCTAGCAGCAGGCCAAAAAAGGCCAATTGTGCTAATCAAATCTGTCAAAGTTAAGAAAATAACAGTCAACAGCAGGGAAAAATGATATTTTGCATTTTCTTTTTTTAAAGTCCTGTGAAATTATGGAAAAGAAAGGTCTAAAAAGGCCACTGAAGGTGGGAAGAGAAGGTGCTCATCCCAACACCATACCCCCTCTGTTGCCAAGTGTTTTTCTACATCTATACTCTGTCAATTCTATGCGGGTAAAAAGCTGTGCAAAATTTTGGACGGTCATGGTTTGGATTCGGTAACCGGTCACGAGATGCGATCAGTTGGATAAAAATGCAGAAAATATCGAATCAAAACATGCAAAAGGAAAAAAACAAAAAAAAACTTAATAACAACGGATTCTGAATTAGTCATGATTTACAGCTTTTGCACTTGAAATAATTTGGAAAATAGAAAAAAAAAAATAAAAATGCCAAGCTTGTGAAATAGATGACAGTTACGGGTAAGAATAAAATTCTCCTTTCAATTATTCAAATATAAATTCTATAGATCTAAATTAGAGAAAATCTTGCAATGCGTTACAAAACGATTCGTTTCTTGATAAAATTACCTATTGCTTTTAGAAGTTTAACGATAAAATCAGTTAATAAAATATCAAAGACTCCCTCATGTCATGAGTCAAGCATTTTTCCCTAATTCTGGGTTTTTGAATTTTAATTGTGATATGTATTACTCAATTTTGAAGTGCTGTATATGAAATTCTCAGTATATCCCCTATCAACCCGCACTGGCTAAAGTGATAGTGAAGGAAAACCTAAACCAAGATGGAGAGTAGAAATCACAAATGGCCCTCAGTCCCCGGCAGATCGCAAGTCTCCGACCAAGGTAGCGGTTGGAAAAGGCAGAGATTGGAGGGTGCTAAGTGTCCCCGGGTAAGATTAGGCTACCAAAGAAGACTAAAACTGCATATTGCGACATATTAATACGAGAACCCTTTCAGTGTTAGAACTAGAAGAAGAACTTGAACAAATACACTGTAATCGGAATAAGCGAAATCGGGAAAAGAGGAGAAAAACTATCTGCCTACTGAAGTCAGCAAATATGTATTACCACAAGTGTGAAGAAAAGAGCTCTGTAGGAGGAGTCGGACTTCTGATAAATAGGCGACATGTACTCAATATACTTGAGATCAGAAGTGTAGGCCCCAGAGTTTGCTTTGTAATATTGAAATTAAATGAACGATACAATGTCAAGATTATCCAAGCCTATGCACCCACATCCCAAAGTTCAGACAAAGATATTGAAGACTTCTACGAGGACCTTACTCCAGCAATCTCAAGTCCTCCAGCATACTTTACCATGTTAGTGGAATACAACAATGCCAAACTTGGAAAGAAACAAAATGAAACGGAAACACCACTGGGATGCCATGGGGTTGGAGAAAGGAACGAACGAGGAAATCTCCTGCTATAGTTTCTGTTCTCCTATAAACTGACTGCCATGAACACATTCTTTCAAAAGGCGGACCATCGAATGTGGACATGGACCAGTCCGGATGGTATGACTAAAAACGAGATTAATTTTATTATTACAGGCGTTCAATTCCGTAGACCACCACGCATTGTCCAAAGACCTTGCCAATTGTCGTATAGATCACCGCTATATCTCGCTACTGCGACAAATATATAAACACGCAACAGCAAAAGTAAGATTGCATGATGAAACAAACCAGTTTAAAATTGAAAAGGTCGTTCGACAAGGGGATATGATCTGTCCCAAACTTTTTACAACTCTGCTTGAGTACGTCATGTTTACAAAGATAGAACTGGATAATAAGGGAATAAACGTAAATGGAGAAAAACTGAACCATTTGCGTTTCGCTGACGATATCGTACTGATTTCAGACCGGCTAGATGAAGCAAATGAAATGCTCACGAAACTGTCATCAGCTTCCCAAAAAATTTGATTAAAAATCAACATCTCCAAAACCCAATTTATCACAAATCTGGTCCCTAGCTTGAAATAAAAAAAAATCCAACACGTGACATCGTATATCTAGGACATGAAATTCGAATCGGCAGAGATAACCAGACCTGTGAACTTAGCCGAAAAATAGGACTAATATGGGCTACCTTCGGTCGGTTGAAACATGTATTCAAATCAGACCGTTGACCAGCGCATCCTCCTGGCTCCTAGTACTGATATACAGCTCAGAAATATTACCATTGACACAAAAAACGATCAACAAAATAAGAGTTACCCAACGAATCATGGAAAGAGCTAGGGATGACGTTGCGAGACCGAATCCACAACGAATAGATACATAAAAGAACTAAAGTTGCAGATGCTGTTGAGAGAATAACACATCTAAAGTAGAATTGGGCCACGTCGCAAGAATGACAGATGATAGGTAGACGAAGAAGATATTGGAGTGGCGACCCAGAGATGCTGCACACAGAAGCCAGGGTAGACCGTCGACTCGATGGACAGATGATATCAAGAAGATATCTACGAATTGGATCCAACATGCCCAAGACCGAGCAAGACGGATTAGGTTAAGAGAGGCCTATGAAGAAGAAAAAAATCATAATTCCATTTCTGAGCCTGAGATCCATTCGCGGTTTGTTTTGTTTGATAAAAAGGTCCAACTCAATAAATCCTGAAAGTTTGAAGTCCCTCTAATTGCTTGAAATATTATTTTTTTTGGTTAGTTGATGGTACCCTCTTTAACAAAGTGCAATTTTTACGATGTGATTTCAAGATTATTGAAAAAAATTATAAATGTTTGTTAAGGGGAAACATCAGGCTTTTTGACAATGACAAAATACACACGGTGTTTCATTGAAAATAGGGCAGTAAAAAGCCGCATGTCTGTGGAAACCAAATTTCAAGTCTGGTTTTCCAAATGAAAACCACCACCTTTTCAAATTTTTTTCGAACTTATTGTCCTGTACCCAAATCTAATTGTTTGGAGAACATGCATCAGAAAAAATCGAGGAAAAAATGCTGAAAATTCAACAGGAAATTCAAGAATGTATGAAAACGTGGTGTTTTCCATTCAAAAAAATCATATTGATCGAATTTTTCTGCAAGCTCTTGGTGGATTATTTAAGCGGTATTCTAATTACATATTATTAATCTGTCTAACTAACCCCATAAGACTGTTAGTTTTGCAGTTAAGGACAATTCCTATTAAAGCTCTAATTGTGTTAAAAGAAATGCATAGGTAACTAGGTAGCTATAATAGGTAAAACTAAGAGATTTTACCCTAAAAATGCATCGTAGGAGCAGCTAAGGGTCGGGGCTTATTCAGGTGGGTCAAATTTTCAAAAAAAAAAAAAAATTAAATACATAACCCGTATCGGCGAGTAGTGGGTATGTTATTTAATACTAATTTGGCTCCAATATATTTATTGTCCCTATTTTTGATGATCTGTATCATATAGGCTTGTTTGGTATTGGCCAATAACCAATTTTTTTTAAATTTGCCCAGTGTACTAAATTAGTATCAGCCGAGAAAGTTATATATAAGTAAAATTAGGTTCAAGAATACCTATTGGCTCGGATAGTTATCTAGTTTGGCTTCGGCCCAAATCATTATTATAAATTATTAAAAGTTCTAATGTGAATTGCCACTAGAAGTTATATATAAGTTTAACAAGTTTTGTTATTAATTAGACTAAAAAAAAAAAAAATCGGCTTTGACCTTGATATAAAGCTGCATTCTGCGACCATCACAAGAATATCCGAAATATAATTATTATAGTTAGTTCATTAAAAAATATATATATATATATATATATTACTATGGAAAACAATAATTTTATTAGCAAACTAGTATGTAAAAGGGGTGTCCCAGAAACATGAAACATAGCATTTCTACTAAAACATTTATTTATTTTATTCAAATTTTGTAAATTTTTGCTTGATTTTTTTGCTCCCCAAGAACGGTTTGCTTTCGGTTTGGAGCAAAATTATACCAATTTCATCATGCGCAACATTCTGGGACACTTTATTATCAATTTAAAAATAAACAAATTAGTTTTCTCACACCAAACAATAAATTTTTCAGGCTAAAACAAAAGATTGCAATAAATTACAAACTACAAACTACCAAAAAAAAGGGCCATCCATTATTCATTCAATAGGTTTAAACAATGAACTACTGCAAACTAAATGTTCACCTTTATGATGCTCTAGTATTCTAGTCTACCAAACCTAAAGTACCTTCAACGCTTTTGCCAATATGGCCCACCGTCTCCGAGCCACTTTTTTCTTTTCGGTGCCCCTCAGTATGTAGGGTACGACCTGATCGAGGTCGATTTTGAAATTCTGACTTAACTCTAATATGTCTTTAGATTGGTCCATAAGGTTTCAGGCATAGTAGCAGACCAAAGGTTGGTCCTTTCTAGAAAAAGTCCAACCAAAAAAAAAAGTAGTCTGTTAAAAGAACCTATGGTTTTTGTAATTCAAGCAGTTGTATTCAAATTTTAAAACTTTATTCACTCATGTATCACATTTTTCTTTCATTCGTTTCATTTAATGCTAGCTGACTCTGATATTTTCTTACCTAATGACAACCTTGGATTTGAAGTTAGGTACTGTTAAAATTTTATTCACCAAGAAGGTGAATGGGAAAACCGACCAATTCTAAGACGGTTTTACACCATAATTTTATTCCATGTTAATAAAATGCTTTTGAATGGGTTTGTGAGGGATTTTATCAAAAACCTAATCATCTATAATGGAGTCCCTGTTCAAGACTTCCTGAAAATTCTCCTGGCGTGTTGTTAGGGAAAAGGA